TTGAAATTTGAACACACTGTGCCAAAACCATCTGTTTTTGTTTTCACCACAGAAAACACTGGGGTAATGGGCCCCCTGTACCCGTTTTTGGGTTTTTATAATGTATGCCCCCTTTCCCAAAAAAAGGGGCCATCCCTGTTTCTCACTACGTCACCTGAGATACCCAATAACATCTTGGATCTTTTAAAATTTTTTTTCTAACCCCTGTAACAACAATACCAAAAACCAGGCCACATCACAATCACAGAGTACAAACATTTTTTTACCAAAGCTTTTCCTCTTTCCCCGGTTAAAATCTGCTTTAATGGGCATCTAACCCTTTTAACAAAATCAAAGATCTCAATTACAAGATTCTTGAAAGGATAAAATATAAGCTGAACTTTTGTTTGGGGATACATGAAACATTTTAAACTTTTTTTAACCTTCACTTCTGTCCCGGCCCGGTTTTTGGGGGCCAAGGAGAAGAAAATGTTATTTTATGATTTCACTGAAGACCGGGGTTTGAAAAATTTGCCGAAACGGGGACCATTTGCCCTTTTTTATTATCTTATAGATGGGAGGCTTAAACATTATTGGGTTTCAAAAAGCAAATACATTTCTGCAACAGTCGTCTCTTTTCCACCTGTGTAGTCTGACTTGGGGGAAAGGGCGAAATTTTCCCCGGTTTTACTCAAAATACCTTTTTACTTTCCCTGACAAAAAATTTCCTCAATTGCGGGCAAAAGAATAATTCAAAAAAATTTTCCCTTTTATTTGGGGCCCTGGTTCCAAGGGGACAAGTAAAGGGAAATTCCACTTTGAAAAGTCCCTCAAAGTGGTGAGGCTTTGGGGAAAAAAATTTTGGGGTTTTTTGGGGTGCCAATCCCAAAATACGGTTTGCGGTGGAATTTCCGGACATCATAGGCTTTGGGTTTTGCGGGTGGTTGTGGGGGTTGGTTGGGGGGGCTGGTGGGTTTGGCCCCCGCTTTTGGGCCTTGAACTGAACCCATCAGCAGCGTGGGTCCCACGTGGGCCCGGTGAGGCACGCCCTGGCGGTGCCACAACCCCCCGCCAAATACCTCACCAAAAAACCAACCCCCTGATCCTTGGTCATCCCCGCCAATTAGCCACATCTCCTCACTACATACCAAAAACCTTTGGGGTTGGGCCACGGGGGGTACTCCGGGGTTTTACTCCCTCCCCCGGGCACAGCAAGGGTTTTCCCTACCCCCGGGGCATTTGGCCCGGGGAAAAATACCACGCTTTACTGGGAAAATTTTATTTTCCCCAATATCACTACTGAATGATCGTTTTTGCGCAATAAAATCACAATCCACTCCTATCATCGTCATTACTAAAGTCAAGGCCCGGCCCGCGAAAATATTAGTTTTCTCTTCGATGAGGGAAAAACCGACCGTGAGTCCGAGTGCCCACACCGAGGTAAAGGTTGAGGATCGTCAGGGTTTTCTGACTATTATCGATAAACCTGGTCATTTTTTTTTCGGGGCACTAAAGATCCCAAAACCATTAATTCGTCTTTCATTTCCAAATTCCACATTTCAGAAAATATCAGATAGGAAGAGGGGGAAATTTCCCAAATTTTTCCGGGGGGGGGTTTAGAGCTTTACTTTTCGAGAGGCCCTGGGGGAAACAAGGGTAACTGAGCCCCCCGTTTTCCCCCAAATTTTTTCCCCCCCCGGGCGCCTTTAAATTTTTTGTTTTTGGTTTCCACCCACCCAAAGCGACCCGTTCCTTCACATGTAGGCCTATAGCGTTTTTTGCCAAAAATTTTTTACGGCGCTAGAAATTTTTCCCTAGATCTACGGTTTGGAAAACTCAACGTTTAAAACCTTTTATTACAGGACGGACCCTGAAAGGGTTTTAAAACAGATCACAGCAGAGTGACCTTTTTCCCGAAACCATATTGACGATTTACCCAAAATAGTTTAGTGATAGTCCAAAAAAAATCTGTCATTTGTTTGAATTATTTTCTCAAGGACTTACCAGTGATTGACAGGGGAGTGACACTGGTCTGTAGTTGGAAATTTTTGCCCGGCTCTTCTTTTTGTGAACAGGGGGCTACATTTGGGCCCCTTTCCCTAGAGAGAAACCCTTTACACGTACTTCAGTGCTTTAAAGATGCGAGTTAGAGGTGCTGCTATGTCTCACATCTTCTCAAAAAATTTGGGCTAATTTCGGGGGCCCAAGCCTTTTCTTGGCAAGCGAATTTAAGAAAGGGAAAAGGGGCCCCCCCCTCCGCCTTATTGTCACCACTGACAGTTTTTGACACAGTTCTTGCAGCAAACCAAGGAGGCCCCTTGTGGACAGGAACTTGCTTTTGGGTGGGCAAAGTGTTCAGAAAAGAGGTCTGCCTTCTCTTGACTAAGTAGGGGGGTCCCATCCGCGATTTGGGAGGTGGAATGAGTTCTCAGGCAGATAACCTTGTTGTCCTTGCCCGGGGGGCCACCATTTTGGACCCTTTTACCCTCCCCTGATGTAGCTTTTTTTAGTGTCCACCTCCCATTTAGCAGGGGCCCCCACTTTTAACGTAACCCTATCCTACAGGTTGGGCCTGTGAATTCCTGTTATAGGGGGTGGTGTCTCTTATACCTTCGCCATGTTTTTACTTAGCAGTAGCAGCCCTCTCTAAAACGAAAGCCAAACAAAACTTATCGTAGGGTTTTTCACATATTGCCGGTGGGAATGTGTTCTTGTTGTAATTAAGGATGTGTTTCCCCGTGAAAGGGTTTCACTTGGTTTTCAAAATCCCCCTTGGGGAAAGACATTCCCAAATTTTTTTCTCTCTGTCTTCTCTGTCCCTGTCTCCTGTTTTTCTCTCTGTCCTGTCTCTCTCTGTCTCTGTCTCCCCTCTGTCTCCTGTCTCTGTCTCTCTCTGTCTCTCTTGTCTTCTCTGTCTCTGTCTCTTCTTCTGTCTCTGTCTCCGTCTCTCTCTGTCCTCTGTCTCTCTCCCTGTCTCCTGTCCTCCTCGCCTCTCTCTTCTGCCTCTTCTTTTTTTTTTTTTTTTTTTTTTTTTTTTTTTTTTCACAGGGGTTTTGCAAGGTTAAGGTCCCCAGCTTTATTGACAGCTATTTACAGGTTAAGGATTCCCAATTTATTGGCAAGCTAGAAGCTGTTACCTTACATCAGTCATTTGAAAAGCATTTTTATTGTTATGAGAAATATCAAAGTACGGGACAGGATGAAGTTGGAGCCATCTGTGGGCCAGCATTTTCATTTGATCAACTGACTTTATCTCGTTGGTCATTCATTATGCTGTACGAATGTGTTCCATACTCGAGTCTCTGCGGTATGTTTGTTCTCAGATGGAAGTGTTGTTTGGAGAGGAAGGGTACTGCCAGAGTGAAGTTGCTGCTTTCTGTCCGTCTTGTTGGCACAAACGGCTTGTTTCACGCTTGGTCCTCGAAGTGGATCCCATGTGTGGTATTTTGTCAATATGGCCTTGTACAAACTGTAAGGCCAACCCACATCCCTCCATATGTGAGGCTCTGCTGAAAAATGACGACAGATCTATCTCTCTCTCACTCTCTCTCTGTGTCTCTCTCTCTGTCTGCTCTGTCTCTTGTCTCTCTGTCTCTGTCTGTCTCTGTATAGTTCTGTCTGTCTGTCTGTCTCTCTCTCTCTCTCTCTCTCTCTCTCTCTCTCTCTCTCTCTCTCTCTGTTCTGTCTCTCTCTCTCTGTCTGTCTCTGTCTTGTCTCTGTTTCTTCTGTTCTCTGTGTCTCTGTTCTCTGTCTCTCTTCTGTCTGTCTCTGTTCTCCTCTGTCTGTCTCTGTTGGCTCTGTCTGTCTCTGTCTGTCTCTCTCTCTCTGTCTCCTGTCTTTCTCTCTCTCGCTCTCTCTCTCTCTCTCCTCTCTTCTCTCTCTCTCTCTCTCTCTCTCTCTCTCTCTCTCTCTCTCTCTCTCTCTTTCTCTGTCTCTCTCTCTGTCTTCTCTCCTGTCTGTCTGTCTCTCTCTCTCTCTCTCTCTCTCTCTCTCTCTTGTCCTCTCTCTGTTTCTCTCTGTCTCTCTCTCTCTCTCTCTCTCTCTGTCTCTCTCTCTCTCTCTCTCTCTCTTCTCTCTCTCTCTCTCTCTCTCTCTCTCTTCTCTTTCTCTCTGTCCTCTCTCTGTCTCTGTCTCTGTCTTCACTCTGTCTCTCTGTCTCTCTCTCTCTCTCTCTCTCTCTCTCTATCTCTCTATCTTCTACTCTTCTCTTCTCTATCTCTCTATCTTCTTTCTCTTCTCTCCTCTCTTTCTCTTCTCTCTCTCTCTCTCTCTCTTTATTAGGGCATAGGTGATAGGATATTTAGCAGGGATGACAAAATTCAACTGCATATAAATTGAAAGGATGTGGCACCAAAATGTTGGCCTCATTGGTTATTATCTAGATTTTTGGAAATTTCCTCGCCACATTGTTGCTCACTTCCCTTTTTCAAACCACTAAACTCAGGGTCCCAAATAAAAAAAAAAAAAATCATTTGGCCTCCAAAGAGAGATTGTTAATATGTCATTGCATTAGTGAATCCCTGGTGTTCACCACGCTGTATGTTCTGGCTAGCACTCAATTGAACTGGTGCTCCCACAAGGTACTAAGTGGTCCCAGATTGTTTTAATACTCTGCAGTAACAGCCTGGTTGATCAGGCCTTGATCCAGCTGGAGGCCTTGTCATGGACCAGGCCATTGATCCCTGGAATACCCTCCAGGTTGACTCGAAACCGGTGTTCTTTTGCCTAAAATATTGTCGATAATTCTACCAACAGTAATACAGTTAATGTTCGGTTGGGATGTGAGCAATGTAATATCTATAAAGGGTTTACAGAGAAACTGATTTGTAGAACCTGAGTTCTGGAGGTGGGAAGTACAGTACCAGCACTCTGAAAGGTGGGGATGTTCTGATTTGGTGGATCATTTGACTTGTGATATTCATGCACTTTTGCTAAGACAGTTGGGAATTGAGTGATGGTGAATGTGTGTTCCTTATTTGAGTGCCTCAACTTTAGTGGGAAATGGTTGGCATTAAAAAATTTCTTCCACAAAACATTGTTACATGGCATTTCTTTTTCAGTTTTCCAATCTGCTTGGAACTGTCTACAGACGTGGTGACATAATCTTCAGCAATGATGGCAGTACTGTCCTTTGTCCAGTTGGCAACAAAATATCTGTGTATGACCTTCGCAACAACCGTTCTCATACACTACCCTTTGAAGCTCGGTTTAACTACACCTCGTTGGCCTTATCTCCTAGTGGAATCATTCTTATTGCTGCAGACGAGGGTATGACTTTTATTTACATGTTGATTGTTTTTCTTAATGTGCTTTATTGTTGATTACAGCAGTGAAACTGATGTGTAAAAAGCTATGAATTGCTGTATTCAAGATTAAAATGTTTGTAAATTCCCTCTTCCAGTGATGTTTTATCCATCATATTGCATGGCAGTGATAATTTAAATGATTATTTTTAAATAGGTTGTCACTTTTACAAAGTGAATGCAGTTATTATGTAATTTTAATACTGTCCTTATTTGTCAATTTGTTATATTATTATTCTAAGTGCTCTTCACTTTTTTCCTGAATTTTCTGAGTATCTTTTTACGTTTTCTAGTTCTTCCTAAGGTTCAGACCATCTGTACATTTTGCTGTGTTCCTCTGTGCTTCCTGGGCTGTCCTGCTCCCTCCTACTGTGATCCTGTGTTACTTCCACATTCCCTAATATTCACACATGTACTTTTTTTTTTTTTTAACAAGTTGGCCATCTCCCACTGAGGCAGGGTGACCCAAAAGTAAAGAAAATACCGAAAAAGAAAAAATACTTTATCATTCATTCAACACTTTCACCTCAGCACCTACACTCATACATAATCACTGTTTTTGTCAGAGGTGCCCAGAACATCAACAGTTTATAATCATATACGAATAAAGATACATGGGAAAAACATATCCCTCCAAATCTGCCAGTATCCAACCCCACTTTAAAACAGTGCAGCATTTTACTTCCGTTTCCAGTACTCAAGGTCCGGTTATATAAAAATAACCGGTTTCCCTGAATTTTTTTTTTTTTTCAACAAGTCGGCCGTCTCCCATCAAGGCCAGGGTGACCCAAAGATAAAGAAAATCCCCAAAAAGAAAAAACTTTCATCAGCATTGCAAACACTTTTACTCCTCTCACACATTAATCACTGTTTTTGCAGAGGTGCCCTCAAGAATACAACAGTTTAGAGGTATTACGTATAAAAACACCAACATATCTCTCCAACTGCCAGTATCTGAAACCCCTCTTTAGAGTGCAGGATTGTACTTCCCATTATCCAGGGCTCAAAGTCCGGTTATATTAAAATAACCGGTTTCCCTGAATTCCCTTCAACTAAATATTACCCGTCACACTCCTAACAGATCGTCAAGTCCAAATACCATTCGTTCCATTCACCTCCTATATAACACACTCACGCACGCTTGCTGGAAGTCCAAACCCTATTCCGCCCTCTGACTAATACTTTTATAAACTCCACACCTTCTCCTAATTTCCACACTCCGAATTTTCTGCATAATATTTACACCACACATTGCCCTTAGACAGGACATCTCCACCGCCTCCAACCGCCTCACAGCAGCATTTAAACCCAAAGCTTCACACCCATATAAGAGTGTTGGTACCACTGTACTTTCATACATACCCTTCTTTGCCTCGATAGATAATGTTTTTTTGTCTCCACATATGCCTCAATGCACCACTCACCTTTTTTCCTTCATCAGTACTGTGGATAACCTCATCCTTCATACATCCATCCGCTGACACATCATCTCCCAAATACCTAAAAACATTCACTTCTTCCATACTCCTTCTCTCCAATGTGATATCTAATTTTTATTTATCTAAATCATTTGATACCTTCATCACCTTACTCTTATCTATATTCACTTTCAACTTTCTACCTTTACACACACTCCCCAAATTTATCCACTAGCTTTTGCAACTTTTCTTTAGAATCACCCATAAGCACAGTATCATCAGCAAAAAATAACTGTGTCAGCTATATATGCTTCTAAGCTGTTGTATCTAGGTGCCTCTGCAAAAACAGTGATTATGTATGAGTTAGGTGAAGGTGTTGAATGATGAAAGTATTTTTATTTGGGGAATTTTCTTTCTTTTTGGGTCACCCTGCCTAGGTGGGAGAAGGCTGATTTGTAGAAAAAAAAATAATCTTTGCAATTTTTTTTCTTTTTGTTTACAGTATTTCAACATTTGTAGGCTTGTAGTGTACTGTGGTATTGGGGAGACTGAAGAATGCTAAAATCACTAACAGGTTCTAAAGAAATGGTTATATTTGCAGTGCATGAAGAATAAAAAAGTCAGAGTATCATGGCTGGGACAATTAGCCAAGAACCAGCACCTAGGATATGAACCTTGTGACAGCCTTTAGGTCCACTGTGGACCATCATAAAATTACAACTTGATCCGTGTTGGACCAAAACGTCATCCAAAGGGTCCCTCTTAAGTGCCGTTTTTTTGGTGATTGGAGTGTTTGTTCACATGCCTTTGTTTCTCTCATTTACAGAGGGTGAGGTTCACATTATTAACCTGAACTTCCGTCACATACTTTATCGTCGACGCTTCAATCAACCCATCAAGTCTGTTAAGTTTAGTCCAGATGGCAAACACTTTGCCCTAACCAAAACCAATGCAGGTAAGACTAATGTTTTATTATTTATATTTTTCTTAGTTCTTTCTTTCAACACACCGGCCGTATCCCACCGAGGCGGGGTGGCCCAAAAGGAAAAACGAAAGTTTCTCCTTTTACATTTAGTAATATATACAGGAGAAGGGGTTACTAGCCCCTTGCTCCCGGCATTTTAGTCTCCTCTTACAACACGCATGGCTTACGGAGGAAGAATTCTGTTCCACTTCCCCATGGAGGTAAGAGGAAATAAACAAGAACAAGAACTAGAAAGAAAATAGAAGAAAACCTGAGGGGTGGTGTGTATATTTTGCTTGTACAGTATGTACTCACCTAGTTGTACTCACCTAGTGAGGTTGCGGGGGGTCGAGTCCGAGCTCCTGGCCCGCCTCTTCACTATCGCTACTAGGTCACTCTCTCTGGAACCGTGAGCTTTATCATACCTTGCTTAAAGCTTTAGTAATATGGATCTGCCTCCACTACATCGCTTCCCAAACTATTTCCATTACTGACTACTCTGTGGTGAAGAAATACTTCCTAACATCACTGTTGTTTCATCTGTGTCATCAACTTCCAAACTGTGTCCCCTTGTTACTGTGTCCAATCTCTGGTACATCCTGTCTTTGTCCACCTTGTCAATTCCTCTCAGTATTTTGTATGTCGTTATCATTGTCCCCTTATATCTCTGTCTCCAGTGTCGTCAGGTTGATTTACCCTTAGCCTCCTTCGTAGGACATACATCTTAGCTCTGGGACTAAGTCTTGGTTGCAAAACTTTGCACTTTCTCTAGTTATTTTCGTGCTTGGTAGGTGTGGGTTCCTAACTGGTGCGCATACTCCATATGGGCCTAAGGTTCACGGTGTAAGGTTCCTGATCGATTCCTTATCTAGATGTCGGGAATGTACTGTTATGAGGTTTGCTAGGTGCCCATATGCTGCAGCAGTTATTTGATTGATGTGCACTTCAGTAGCATGGCCCTGGTGTATAATCACCCCAAGATTTTTTCCTTGAGTGGAGGTTTGTAGTCTCTGGCCCCACTTAGACTGTACTTGTATGTGACACTAGATAGTGACCTATAGTGGCAAGTAGTTGTTGCAAGACGTACCGAATCTTGCATGTTTATGAGACAGACAAAAGACAGCAGCCAATCCTACATATGTAAAACAATTACGGCTTTCGTTGTACAATCACTTCGGCAGGCGGTAGTACCTCCCTGGGCGGTTGTGTTTACAATCCTACTACCTAGGATTTTTTTAGTTACTTTTTATTTTTTTTTCAACAAAATGGCAGTATCCCACCGAGGCAGGGGTGGCCCAAAAAGAAAAATACAAAAGTTTCTCTTTTTTAAATTTGTAATTTATACAGGAGAGAGGGTTTACTAACCCTTGATCCCGGCATTTTGTCGCCTCTTACAATCACGCATGGCTTACGGAGGAAAGAATTCTGTTACATCATCCCCTTGGGAGATAAGAGGAGATTTAACATGAACTAGAAAGAAAATAGCAGAAAACCCAGAGGTTATGTGTGTATTTAAATATACGCTTGCGACATGTATGTGTAGTTGACTAAGTGTAAGTTTAGAAGAGGAAGTAGCAAGACATATTGAAATCTTGCATGTTTTATGAGACAGAAAAAAGGACCCAGCAATCTACCATCATGTAAAACAATTACAGGCTTTCGTTTTACAACTCACTTGGGCAGGACGGGTAGTACACTCCCTGGGCGGTTGACTGTCTACCAACCTACTACCTAGATTTTTTTAGTTATATGTAACATAATTATATGTGGCACTGCTTTTTTATTTATCTGTTATTACATTCTTCTTTCTTCTTTCAACCGTACCAGCCGTTATCCCTACTGAGGTGGGGTGGCCCAAAAGAAAAAATGAAAGTTTTCTTTTAAATTTAGTAATATATACAGGAAGAAGGGGTTACTAGCCCCTTGCTCCCGGCATTTTAGTCGCCTCCTTACGACAAGCATGGCTTACAGAGGAAGATTTCTGTTCCACTTTCCACATGGAGATAAGAGGAATTAAACAAGAACAGAATTAGAAAGAAATAGAAGAAAACAGAGGGGGTGTGTATATATATGCTTGTACATGTATTGTAGTGATGCACCCTAAGTGTAAGTAGATGTAAGCAAGGAACTTACCTGTAATCTTGCATATTTATGAGACAGACAAAAAGACACCAGCAATCCTACCATCATGTAAAACAATTACAGGCTTTCGTTTTACACTCACTTGGCAGGACGGTAGTACCTCCCTGGGCGGTTGCTGTCTACCAACCTACTACCTAGGATTTTTTTTAGTTATATGTACATAATTATATGTGGCACTGCTTTTTTATTAACTGTTATTACATGTACATAATTATTTGTATTTTCTTTGAAACGCTTTCTTAATTTTATATTAGATTTAAAGGAGGGAATAAAGATTTATTACCATATGTCATTTTTTTTTTTTTTCAATAAGATACATTTTTCTACAATTATTTCTTACATGGAAAAGCCAATAATTATATAGTAGACTGTTATCTCGACTATCCAAGAGTTCCTCAGTAGTAGTACCAGTTCCTAGTAACCAGTTACCAGTAACCAGTGTACCAGTAGATGACTCACTACCAACCGTCTCTGCGTGAATCACTGACTGTATTCATATTGCTGCTGACCATAGCAGGATTTCAAACACCCCCTCACATAGGCACTGTGGGTCAGTAGTCTTACGATAGAGAGCAGAGAGGCAGGTCGGCTGTTGGCGCTTCACACACATTCCATTATATTATACGTACTACCAGCCTACGTGAGTAATTTGACCCTATCCACGTTTTCGAAAACCCACTGACTGGTTATATTACATGGTATAGTTAAATTCCTTGAAAATGCACGTTAGGTAAATCCGTGTTAAGCTGAAGAACGTATGGGAAAAATAGGGTTATGTTCCTGGGAGCCCCAAAAAGCCAAACAACTTTTTCTTAGATCTCCAGATCTTACAAAAATAAAAATGATTATATAATTGTTGTTCTTGTTTTGATCCTATTAGGTTTTTTCTATTTGTTAGCTTTCTAAATGCCACAGAAATAAATAGTACTGTATTTTAACCTTAAAATTGTGGGTGGTGGTGTTTGTCGTTGATTGTGAAGAGAGTGGGAGAGCCGTGCTACTGTGGCCCTACTGGGCTGAGATAGTAGGGTGGTTAGAGGATCTGGTACTAAGTTGATTGGTCGTAATGGTGTGTGCTTAAATTCTTGTAATGGATCTCTGGGCTATTTTACCCTGCGTACATTATGCAGGTGCAGTAAGGCATTCACCAACTGCTCTTGACACCATTTACAGAGCACTGCTTTCTAGGTTTGTTAAGGTCCTCTTCAGGTGGAAAAGTCTACACTTTAAATCAGTTCAGTCAGTTGCCACTAGTCAGTTAAGTCAGGACTAGTTAGAAGTGAGTCATTCCAGTCAGACAGTTATATTATAGTCAGTAAGTCAAATTAGTCAAGTCTGCCAATGTCAAAAAATCTAATGAGTCAGGTCAGCGTCAGTTAAGTCAGTCGGTTAGGCAGTCAAATCAGTACAGTCTGTCAGTCATGTCAGTAAGTCTAGTTTAAGTTCTGTAAATCAGTCAAATCAGTTATGTCAGTAAGTCATGTAGACAGTAGGTCTATATGTTTCACATCCCACTAGAGTTACATAGGCCTAGTTCCTAAAATTCCCACCAGATGTAGGCACGGGGTAGACCTACACCTGCAATACCAACATTTCACTTGGCATACTAGCTGACTTTCAGCACTTCCTTCCCCTCTGGGCTGCTCTGGTGGCCTCAGTCTGTCCGGCTATGACTAACACCATTTATTCTTTTGAATAATGGTGCTAGTCTTGTTGCCGTTTGTCTTTGACCTTTGCATGCTACCCTGGCAGTAACCAGCCACTCCAGAAAACCAAGGTAAAGCAGTCAAGTCAGTCAGTCCAGTCAGTAAGTTAAGTCAGTTAATAAGTCAAGTCAATTAAGTTAAGTCAGTTATGTCAGTCAATTAAGTCAAGTCAAGATCAAGTAAGTTAAGTTGTCAAGTCAGTAAGTCTCAGTCCAGTCAGTCAGCAATCAAAGTCAGTCCAGGTTCAAGTAAGTCAGGTCAGTTAAGTCAGTTTTTTCAGGTAGTTGTGAGCTAGGTGTCATTCTTTTCCATGGAGTGACATCATGGTTATTCATTACACAAAACCTGTATAGTTACTCATTCGTTTTAATTGTAGTAACTAACACTTCATTAAGGCCATATGATTAGGCTTGTCTACCACATGTGAACCACTTTTAAGCTGTGTCTAATGTCTCGATTTTTTGTTAACTCCAAGACCCAAAAACTTAAACCTTTATACTTGCCATTCCGGCATCACTTGCATGCATCCTGGGTGCCATGGTTGCTTGGCAGATACAAGATTTCTTTCAACACCACCGGCCGTATTCCCACCGAGGTGGGGTGGCCCAAAAGGAAAAATGAAAGTACAGATACAAAGATCCTTATGGTAATGAAAAATTCAAACAACAGGGATCACAAACACTGGTATGAGAACCGTATGAGATTGAATGCACGGAACACTGAGATGGGTCTTGGTGGCAGGGGAGGAAGGTACGTCTTCCTTGGGCGTGACCCAGAGCCAGAATGACTTGTGAGCTCATGAGCTCCGGTAGGATTAGGATATATGCGCATCGAGCAGTGCGACGTCCATATTTTTTACCAGCCCAGAAATGAACTGTGTTAAGTATATTTCACGAAATGTTGTTAATAAAAAACATGTCACAATTTTGCAGTAGTGAAATAACCCAAAAGTGAAAATAAACCCATGTAATATACGTTCTATTTATACAAAGCGTTTTGGCCAGACTTAAACCGCAGTATATCTAAATAGAGCATAAAAGTATTTGGATAAATTTATATGTAGAGCATAGTTTCCCTCTTTGCCGATTTGCTGTGTGTGAATTTTCTTATTATGTATGCATTTAAAAATCTTTGTGACTGGAA